ATATATATATATATATATATATATATATATATATATATATATATATAATAAAATAAACTACTAATTACTTATACTACTGTTCCTACTTCGCAGTTTTTCACTTATCGCGGCTCTTCAAGGTATGGATCCCTGCCATAAACGAGGGACTACTGTATGTATATTTTAAGGCTTTATAAATCCTTCCTGCACTTTTGCAATATTCTTAAGTCACTAAATGCTCTGAAAGAGTACAGCGAAAGAGAGCAGACAGACTGACACTACGGTTACTGAGTCAGTCTGTGTCTGGACTGGCCATCAGGAGCACCGGGCCATTTCCAGGAAATGTCCCAGGTCGGCTCGGTTTGGGTTAAGGCTTGTTTCGGGTCGCACTTGATTATTTTACATAAACAAACCATGCTGCTCACTTTGGTATCCGCCTCACTGAAGCTCCCACAGTAGCGATGGGGACAGATAGACCCCACCCCGCCCCCTCCTTTCTCTTTCTGAGGGTGACAGCATCAGAAAGAGAAAGGAAGGGGCCCCTCAACGATTACTGAGCGGCCAGGCCACCGGGAAACAATGCATACAATCTTACGTTGAAAACCCACAAAAGAGTGAGTTTGCGATAGTTGAACCGCAACGTATCGAGGGACTACTGTGTAGCCATTTTTGTGTTTGCAAAGGTTGATTAGCTGTGGTAATCATCTTGAAAAGTTAATCAATTGAAGATGTGTATCCAGTGATAACGTTCTGCGACTTTCAATAAAATCTGTCTTGCAGTTCCTGAGACATTTTGCTAAAAGACAAGGAGCGTTAACTAATATTTAATGGTCAAGTTTTACAAATAGATCTCACACAGTTAGTTTGTTCTCTGAGTATGTGTCTGATAAACTCTCAGCTACTACCACTTCAAGTGTCAGCTCAACATCTGTAAAACTGGCTGGCTTATAGCCATGTTTGTGTTTGCTAAGGTTACATCTCTGTGGCAGACATCTTGATCCAGATTAACTCCAAATGTTAATCAGTTGTAGATGTACATCCAGTGATTTGTTTCTGAAGGTTTCATTAAAATTTGTTCACTGGCTAATGCTACAGACAAACACACACATACACACATACACACAGACATGAGCTAAAACTACATCACTGTCTGCAGCGGGTGATATTAACATCTTCACCTTTCATCTTTGATATGAAAATACAAAACAAAATATGAGTCAGTCACACATAGCTTTTCAGCAAGTGAGTACTAATGCAGGAAAATGACTCCTGACAGAAAATGGCCTGCCATATGTACCGTAATTTCAAAACACGCATTATATGACAACTGTTAGCCGTACACACACCTCGTCTCTCACACTACTGACTGGAAACAGGATGGCCTTTTAGCCTCTGCGTGTTTCCTTAACCAGCCATGTATGTTTTGTTTGACATAGTGTTTTAAGGAAGTGTATCTTCCTCTACTTCCTTTCTGTCATAGCTGTTAGAAAAATAATGGTAAAAGAATGCGGGCCCTCTTCTAAACAGGAGTGGCGATTGTCTGCTACTAACTCATTTGTTGCATACTTCAATGCTCTCAAATGTACGGTGACATTTCTGTACAAATACAAGTACTGTGACACTTCATGGTGTTTTAGTGTTTTGTTTAATGACATGCTTGTGTTTCCTCTTCAGTTTCTTCAGGACACCCTTGATGCTCTGTTCAACGTCATGATGGAGACATCAGAAAAAGACACATATGACACCCTGGTGTTCGATGCCCTGGTTAGTCCCAGTTAAAGCCACAGTGTTTGGAGGAAAAAAGGAAAATACTTGTTTGGTTGAGACCTACTTGTGGATGGATGCTGTTAGCGCTACCTGCTGTGATAAAAGCACTTCCTCGGACTACTTCTTAGTGGCTACCTTCAGCTATTAAGACAGGTCACAGTTTAGGTCACAAAGAGCTTGTCAGATGATTGAAATGCTTTAGAATTTCTCAAGAATTTTACAGGTCTCTCTTGTAAATGAGTCCCCGAGGCTCAATGGGATTAACCTGTAAAAATAAAGGTTGAATGAACAAATATGCTTTTCATTTATCAGAATATGGACATTACTGTGTTTGTTTTTTCTGTGGTTTCTGAAAAAAATAATGAGAGTTTGAACTTACCGTTCAACTTTTTTTTGCCTTTGTTGCATAACTACGTGTGGCACTTTACTTCATATGAAACAGCAAGACTATGTTTTAAAAAAGAAACAGATAAAAAATGTGTATTGTCAGCTCTATATTTAAATCATATTTCTTCAGCTCCTGCCTGTAAAGGCTGCTGTTTGACTTCAGCTGCACATTTGACAATTTAACTCGTTTACTCGTAACACGTTTGTCCCTTGATGCGCTCTGGCAACCCATCACATTAACAAGCCCCTTGCAAAACCTTCCTCTAAAGTAAAGCAGCAGCTTTTATTGAGTCCTCGTTCTTCTACTACTAACACAATACAGCTTTGATCTAACATGAGTAGAGCGACAAGTAATATTTAGATAACAACATGCTCAATAATCCTGTTATACAATCCAACATTTTTCAGTCAGGTCATCTGGACGGTTTCTTTTTTTGTGCTGAAACGTTTCGCCTTCGATCCAGAAGGCTTCATCAGTCAAGGAAACACACAACACAAAACTGATTCTTGCTCCAACAGCTTACTCCAAAGTGGAACAAACCAGTTATGTTGGTGCTAAGTTGGTTTCTTTGGCACGCCCCCTCCTCCATTGCCGGCCCTCTTCCTTGTTGACAGTCGTGTCAAACTGGTTGAAAACAACAAAGTCCATGCTCAATAATCCAGGTATACAATCCAACAATTTTCAGTCAGGTTTGTTCCACTTTGGAGTAAGCTGTTGGAGGAAGAATCAGTTTTGTTGTGTGTTTCCTTGACTGATGAAGCCTTCTGGACCGAAGGCGAAACGTTTCAGCACAAAAGAAACTGTCCAGATGACCTGACTGAAAAATATTGGATAATATTTAGATACTTTTCCACAGGCAGACAGTTTTATTTTGGACATGGCTCTGATTTCTGTGTGTCTTCCTGTTTTTTTTTGTCCAGGTTTTTATTATCAACCTTATTGGCGACATCAAGTTCCAGCATTTTAATCCAGTTCTGGAAACGTATATCAACAAGCACTTCAGTGCCACTTTGGCTTACATGTGAGTTCTGGCTTTCCTACTTTTGACAGATTATGGATGCTTTTTATATTTAGTACTTTTTGCTCCTCTTCTTTGCTCGTGCCCAATTTACCCAGAGACCCTAATGCCAGACTTATTTGTGTTCCCAGGAAGCTAACCAAGGTGCTTAACTACTATGTGGGTCATGCCGAGGAGCCCACTCTGACAGAGAAGCTCTATGCAGCACTCAAAGCTCTCAAGTACCTTTTCAGGTTTATTGTGCAGTCCCGAGTCCTCTATCTCAGGTACCAGGAGTTCTGCCACACATTAATACACTGTGCATTTAAATATTTCAAGAAATACTTTCTCCTAATGTGGTTTCTGACTTTTCTTACTCAGATTCTATGGGAACAGTGAAGATGGAGACGCCTTCTTCAACTCCATTCATACGCTTTTCCTGTCTTTCAACACTCTGATGGACAGACCTCTGGATGAGGGAGTGAAAATAAAGGTAATAGTTATAGATTATTTTACAGCAAAAAATGTTCTCAAAGCAATTTCCGTTTTGCTTCTTTTTTTTCCCTTAGTTGATCACACAAAATGTGACAAAATAGGTGTTGCCACTATTTTCTGTATTTTTATCTTTATAACTGTGTTTACATGCAGTAAGCTAGCTGTGAAAATGTGTTGTGCTTTTGTGAAACAGTTACTGACATGTCATACATACTGACTGCACAAATAACTAGAGAAATTGCATTTCTTTCGAAAATGCAGTTTGGATGCTTATTGCAGAACATCTTGCTGAAACACACCTGAAATTCGCTAAAAAATACATTCTGAAATGTAGCTGAAATGAAGAACAACCCTAAATTAGCAGACGAAAGCAGAGAGAACAGTATTTGCCGAATTAGGTTTAAATAAGTAGAAATGAACACAAAAATTAGGAAATCAACTAAAAAAAAGCTGAAATTATCTAAAAAAAATTGGCTGAAAAGTAGCTGAAAAGGCAGAAAGAAGTTAGAATTACCAGAAGGAAGTGGAGAGAGCACAGTTTTGCTGAATTAGGCTGAAAAAAGTTGAAATTATTGCAAAAAATATGGAATTAGCTGAAAAAGCTAAAATTAGCATAACAGCTAAATAGTAGTTAAAATCACTAAAACTAGCTGAAATAAGCTGAAAGCAGCATAACAAGCTGAAATTAGCAGAAATAATTCAGTTAGGCTTAAAGTAGCAGAATTAAGCGCAAAATCTTGAATTCATCTGAAAACAGCTGAAATTAGCTAAACAAAATGACAAAACTGGCTGAAAAGGTAGAGCAAGCTTAAATTAGCAGAAGAAAGCAGAAAGAACATGTTTGCCCAATTAGGCTGAAAGAAGCAGAAATGAGCACAAAGAAATTGAAATGATAAAAAAAAAGCTTAAATTAGAACAAAACAGCCGAAAGTAGCTAAATTGTGGAACACAAAAATGAAAAAGCTGCTGAAAAACGTACAGAATAAAAATGAATCACAGTAGTGTGAATGCTTGATGAACGTTCACACTATGAGAGCTCCCTGCTGGTAGTTTCTGTAACGCGAGGAGATAAAACAGCTGAAAAGTGTGTTTTAGCTGAAAATAAAAGGAACAAAATCTCCTTAAACTTCAGTCTGATAAGATCGGATTGTTTGTTTTTTCAGGGTGCAATACTGAAATACCTCCCCAGCATCATTAATGACATCCAGACCGTGTTTGATCCCGTGAAGCTCAGGTAAGTCACCACCAGAGGGTTTGCACAACAGGAAATGATAATTACCTGTCTCAGTGCAAATGATCAGACTGGCTTCTGAGAAAAGCTGCTCTTCTCAATTCTTGCTGCTGCGAAATCAACCCATCTTGACTGCTGCTTATTAGCTCTCTGTGACAATAATTACAAGCTGTGAAATTAATTTACATTAGGATTGTCTAGACAGATAATTTTCTCTTTTATTAATATTTTCTCTTCAGTGTTCTTCTCGCAAAGTTCATTGGGAGCATTCCTGACTTGCAGCTGATGCGTCAGAAGCTGGGCTGCATGTGTAAAATAGTTGAGAGTGACCTTTTCAAGCAGCCAGGTAAGAGCTTTTGGGGCCCCACAATTACATAATGACATTTCCAACAAGATGAAAAAATAAAACTATTTTTTATATGCAAATGTTTACTGGGTAACCTTAATTAAAAATAAATTAAGGTTGTGGAGTCCTTTGAAGACAGTTTTGCCTCTGCTGTGTTCTCGACAGATTGTCGAGATGTGCTCCTGCCGCTCGTCACCGACCAGCTCAGTGGGCAGCTGGACGACCACTCCAATAAACCGGATTATGAGGCTTGTGTTCAACTGCTCAGCACGGTGCTGGACAACCTGGACCGCAAAGGAGTGGTGAGGAGACCCTACACAAAAACACATCCCAAGTAGAGAAAAGGCGATGCAGTCAGTTTACTGTGGTGGATTCAGTGATAAAGGGAGTTTAATTCTCTTGGTGATTCTGCTCACCCTTTGAGTCAGGGACTGAAGCCCCCCCACTGACACCCATGAGGAGCTCAGAGTGTTCTTTTCTGGGTCCTGTGGAGGGAATTCAGCTTCTCTTTAGGGTATCCAGGAAAGTGTGACCTGGAGGGATGCCTGTGGGCAGACTCCGAGCATGCTGGCGGGGTTATGTATAGAATCTGGCCTGAGAGATTTTTTAGTTGGAGTCAAACTGGTTTTGTCTTGGGTCTTGAATAATTCAGGACTATCTAAATAGCAGAAGTTGGGTAGATGTGTGATTTACTGATGCACAAAAACAGATAAAGTTACACTGCAAATGTATTTAACTTTCAACAACCATAAAGAACTGTAAAGAACTTAGTTTTGAAGAAATATACCATATTTTTCGCCGTATAAGTCACGTTTTGTTTTTTGTTTTTTTGCACAGTTTGCATGCCCTGCAACTAATTTGTCGAAGTGACATATTTATGATTTTTTTCCCATATTTATAAACCAATTTTTGGCTGAAATATGACCGTTTTCATTCATTCTGACAATGAAAATATTGAACACTACCATTTTTAGCTGCTAGATGGCAGTCGAGTAGCATGGCATGCCGTTGTATCATGTAATAGGTAAACTTGCCTATTAATGACACTATCGGCTTGCCATAAATCCACCATCGTTTGCCTGGAGCAACCATTAAATCAGCTTTATTTCACTGATGGATGGATGTTCGTTACAAAGTCTTTAAATGAGGTCATTAGATGAATAACACATGAAATTAAGTTGATTTTTGTTTATTTTACAACAAAGTAGATCAGAAATGCAGAAGCAGAGTGTGGAAAAACTAAGACCAGTCTCACTGCTTCTATGGGAATAACGAGGGTATATAAGAGCCAAGAGCTGCTCATCCAAACCAATTGATTTAATAATCATCTGTAAGTGTAAGAAGAACCTCAATATAAATATTTTTTGTGTCGTGTGCTGTTTCTGGAATTTTCAGTTTTAATATTTAACAAAAAATACAGATAACTTCAAAAGTTGTGGAAAATTGATTGTTGCTGCCTATCAGTCTTAAGAATTTGTTGTCATTTTCAAAAATTGAAAGTCCATCGTTCTGTGGTGAGAAACATTATTGACAGGTGAGAAACATTATTGACAGGTGAGAAACATTCTGCTAGTCTTCCCAGGAGTGGACGTCCCAACAAATTCACCCTGAGGTCAAACTGTTCAACGCTCAGTCAAATAATAAAACCCAGGAGGGAGACCCTGCAGGTCTCAGCCTGTTCAGTGGTCAAGTTTAAGTTTTATTTGTAGTTAGTTACTTTCTGCTTCTGCATTTTGACTTAGTTTTTGGTAAACAAAAATATCTGGTTATGGTCATGTCCTTTTTGTATAAAACTTCAATGTAATAAATTTTTACCACATATCCCTCTAACTCAACTCAGCTAAAACATTTAGTAAATCTATGCTTAATTATTATTCCATCTCACTAACTGGGGGCTCATAAATGATCATTAAGGATCATTAAATGTTAGTGAGCAGAAAGTGAGTATGAGCATTATTATCATGACTGCCATTTTTGATAAAAGACGGGGTTCTCTGCACATGTTCCAGTAATTAGTGCCTGAAATGGATACCTCACAGCTGAAGGACAACAAGCGTTCAAAACAAAAACTATAAATGACAGCCGGAGACCAGTGATCAATTTTTCAACTTTGGCTGTGCAAACAGAAACCCACTAATATCTGCAGTGAAGACGGTGACGTCGATATGTTTTGTTTGAACAAAGAAAGCAGAAAAATTAATCAATGAGCTCCAACTCTTCTTCATGCTTTGTGGTATCCTTTATCTTTCTCCAACTCAGTGTCCCACTTTACCCTTTTTTAATTTCTGAAATAAATCATCATGAGAATTTCAGTTTTATAATTTAACAATCATTATCAAAACTAGAGAAATTGCATTTCCTGCAAAAATGCAGTGTGAATGCTTATAGCAGAAGAACTTGCTGAAAAACATCTGAAATTAGCTAAAAACAATGCTGAAATGTAGCTGAAATGGGAAAACAAGCCTAAATTAGCAGAAGAAAGCAGAACAAACACATATGTGCTGAAATTGATTAAAATATTCAGAAAAGTTAGGAAAGTCGCTAAAAAATGCTGAAATTAACAAAAAATATAGCTGAAAATGAGCTGAAAGGCAGAAAGTAGCAAACTACCACAAGGAAGTGGAAAGAGCTGAAATGAGCTCAAAGAATGTGGAATTAGCTGAAAAAAGCTACAATTAGCATAAAAACAACTAAAAAAGCAGAAATAGCTGAAAGTAGCATCATAAAGCTGAAAGGAGCATAACAAGCTGAAATTAGCAGAAAGAAGTTAATTAGTCTAAAAGTAGCCGAATTTACCATGGAAAACGTGAATTTATCTGAAAACAGCCAAAATAGCTAAAAATGTAGCTGAAACAAAGCTTAAATTAGTAGAAGAAAGCAGAAATAACACATTTGCCCAGTTGGGCTAAAAGAAGCAAAAATGAGCACAAAAAAGTGGAAATTATCTGAAAAAAGCTGAAATTAGCAAAAAGCAAAACAAACAAAAAAAAATGCTGAAAAGTAGCAATAAAAGCAAAAAAAAAAGCTAAAATTACCAGAAGTAAGTCAAGAGACCACATTTTCAATGAATTAGGCTGAATACAGTGGAAATTAATGCAAAACAAAAATGACATTAGCTGAACAGGCTAAAGTTAGCACAAAAACTGCTAAATTGTAGCTGAAATAGCAGAAAAAGCTAAAACTTGCAGAAATAAGCAGAAAGGCGCATAACAACCTGAAATTAGCAGGAAGAAGTTAGAAGAAACACAAAAATGTTGTAGTTAGCCAAAGGAATCTGAAAGGAGCACAAAACAGCTGAAAAAACAGCTGAAATTAGCAGAAAATATCTGCAAAAGTTTAAATTTGCACAAGGAAGCTGAAAGAAGCTGAAGCAGAACAAAATGTGAAAAGAGCAGTAAAAGGTTGTAAACAGATCTAAAGATTTGAAGGATGGAAAATGAGCTTAATTCATTTTCTGTGAGGAAAAAAATGGCAGAAAAGGCTAAATATTTCAAAAAGCTAAAGTTGCACCAATACCAAAAATGTCCTGAATGAGCTGAACGTTTTGATATATATGATTTGTTGAAACAGAACAAAAATTGTTGAACGAGAAAGATGCCGAAAAACGTACGGAAGATAAATGGATCCCAATAGTGTTTCATAAACATTCACAGAATAAATTCAGATTATTTTAGCGCTATTCGGCTAGTTGTATAACAAGCCAGCTGTGTTTTGTCTATCCATTTTATTAGTAAAAAAAAAAAGCAAAAACAAGTACGTCAAAGACTGTGAAAATAAACAGCTAAAATGTGACAGATGCGGTGTGAATCAGCCGTTTAATCTGATGGCACACTGCGGCGGCTGTGTCTCAGCTGATAAGTGTCCCTGGTCTGTTGCTTCTGTGCAGGGTCCAACCAGAGGGCACATTCAGCTGATAATGGAGCGGCTTCTTCGCAGGGTTAATCGCACTGTCATCAGCATGGACAGATCCTCTCCTCTCATTGTAAGACTTCACCACAACGTTACAGCTCACGTGTCCAAACGCTGACACCGACAACAGCTAATTCACTGCGATATGCGCTTTATTATGCAAATATGATTGTTTTTTCTTGAGTAGTCATTTTCTGTAAAGTCTCTGGAGTGTTAGCTGTCACTTCCTTGGCAGGGCCACTATCTTGCCTGCATGACGGCCATCCTGAAGCAAATGGATGAGATGCATTACACCCACTACATCAGCACCTTCAAAACGAGACAGGATATCATTGTAAGTGTCTCGGCTCCTCCACTGTTGGCTACATCTTGTCCTGAAGCATCTCATCAATAACCAGTAGTAAACCACCCCGGCCACTTACAGCTCCTAAAGAGATTATTGATTACAGACATTTCATGCAGCTGATTGCACTGACAGGGATGAGGATGTTACCCGGCCTCCATTAAGCTCAGGGGGGGGCATCATGTGTGACTGACATGTAAGGGCGGAGCTGCTGATTTACTTCTTGTGCTTTTTCGTCTTTTGGATGTTCCTCGCAGCGTTTTTGAACGAGAGACGTTGCTGATTCATCTGCAGTAAAGGGTTTTATTTTTCCTCCTGACTTCAGGACTTCCTCATGGAGACATTCATCATGTTTAAAGACCTGATGGGAAATGTCTTCCCTTCTGATTGGATGGTCATGAACCTGGTGCAGATGCAGGTCTTCCTGAGGGCCATCGACCAGTACTCAGATGTGCTCAACAAGCTTTTCCTGGATCAGGCCCACTTTGAACTCCAGGTGAGTGTTATCCATCCATTTCCTCTAAAATGCTCTATTAAATTTAAGCCCCACCAGAAGATAATTATAATATGAATATTTGAAAACCCTTGTTTCCCTCGCAGCTATGGAATAACTACTTTCATTTGACCGTGGCGTTTCTCACCCACAAGATACTGCAGCTGAAATCCTTCTCTCAAGAGAAACGGAAGAAGATACTAAACAAGTCAGATTACGTACAGTCCGTCACGAAAGGTCACTTAAATTACGAGCACCTAATTAAGTCGTCCTCTGGTTTACGTCTGCTGCAGATACGGAGACATGAGGAAGAAGATGGGATTTAAGATTCGAGATATGTGGTACAACCTCGGTGAGTATTTGGCCTCGGCTGATAACGCTGCTGTTTATTCAGCTCCTGCTGGTAATGCAAGGGGAACAAGACATTGTTTTTTTTATTGTCCAGTTTCAGTGCATGGCGGTGTTTTTCTTTGGTGCGTTATTAGATTTCTCTGTTTGGAGAGAAGTGAAAAGGCAGCATATTGCATTTGCAAATCAGACCATAATACTTCTGTGTGATAATGTTTTGTTGTCCCTCAGGCCCACACAAATTGAAGTTTATCCCGGCCATGGTGGGGCCCATTCTGGAGGTCACGCTGGTGCCTGAGCCTGAGCTCAGGAAGGCTACCATTCCCATCTTCTTCGATATGATGCAGTGTGAGCACAACTTCAGCCCCACGCGCACTTTTGAAACGGTAAGCTTCTGTCCCAGACGTTCATTCTTTTGGCCAAGACCTGTTTGATTTTAAGCGGTGTTGCATTTGGATGAATTTTAACGCTTGATTTTACAGTCGTCTTCTTATATTTCCCTTTTATCTTTGCAGTTCGAGAACGAATTGATAACAAAACTGGATCAAGAAGTAGAGGGAGGTCGAGGGGATGAGCAGTACAAAGTCCTGCTGGAGAAAACGTAAGGCTGAGGAGAAGATCAAACAAAATATTTATTTCGTTTTAAAAGTTTTCTGTAAACCTGTCGGACTAGATTTTAATGCAGTTCTGTTGTGGAATTCAAAAAAGGATTACTTCTGAAATACACTATTTTTTCTGACTGCCTGGTTAAAAAACAGTTTCGATCAAGCAAATTGTGAAGACAGGTTGTTAGACTTATAAACAGGCGCTGATCAAAGGGAAAGTGTTACACGCTCAAAATAAAGTTTCAAACGTTTTACAAAAACTAAAATGTTTGTTGCATCTGTTGAAGGACTACCTGCTGCCTTTCATGCCAAAGTTTTAGACAGAGATGTAGTAGTTTTGATCCAACCTTGAACACAACATTAAAAAGAATCTCGTCACACTTTGAGTATGTTAGCGATGACACTCAGCTACTACCACATGACATTTTAGCTCAATATTTACAGAACTAATAGGAATCCAAATGGTAATTTGTTGTAGTCTAATTAGTACTTTCTGAAAGGTTCTTTAAAATTCATCCAGTGATTTATGACATACTTTGCTAAAAGTTATCTCCAACGGTTACTGTTGAAGCTTTAAGCAAACATCTCTTGCCATAAGCACCGTTTGGAGTAAGGGTCGTAACTGACGCTCAGCTACAACCACAACAAATTTAATCCCATTGTCAGAATCAGAATAAACTTTATTATCATTGTACCGAAATACAACGAGAGCATGTACGTACAGTCGTCTGAAAGATGGGCGGAGTGCACGAAGCTGCTACTATAAAAGCGCGGCCCTCTTATTCTTATTCAGATTAATATTTTGCTTAGATGAGAAAAGGAAAGAAAACGAGGAGAGACGGTGTTAAAAAAAAGATCTCTCACGCCGTGTCCTAGACAAGGCACAATTTGAGGCATCAAAAAAACTACTACAGCAAAGCAAAATAAATAGACGTTATACATTTACATATAGGCCGGTGAAGACATTGAAATTCAAGGGAAAGTTGTAGCATAGTCCAGAGCTCCCACTCTCAGCCATTAAGTGGTGACATTCATCATCAGCTCAATTGATGTTCTGTTACATGTCCACGGCCTTGGGGAAGGGAGGGGTGAGGAGACAGTCAAAGCATCTTTGTTGTTTTCTAAACATTCCAGGAGGAGTTGAGATAAGTCCGGCGTCAAGGCCACAGTTTGAGTCAGGCAGAACTCGTAAATTGTTGTTTCTGCCTTTTTAAAGTCTCGCTGGTACATATTCTCTGATGGAACTCCAAAACAGCCGAATTGATTCCTTAAAGTCGAGCTCACAGCTTCTCCAAGATTATTTCCCCTTCATGAGTGCTGCTAGAGAGTTCACAGTTCTGATAACAGCTGCTCCAGCTCTCTGACACAGCTCCACTTAATTCAGTCTGAGCGCTGTCGAGCTTCGACACATCCACACACATTTCTAGACAATCCAGAATTCACCAACCAAACAGCAAAATAACCATTTGTCATCATGATTAATCCAATTTGTTTCCGTCGAGGTAAGAGGGTCCTCCTTACCCTGATTCCTGTCGGGAGAAGTTGATCAATTTTGTTGAGAGACCAG